AAGCCACCCAGGCGCCCAACCATTCTGTTCTAATAGAGGAAGATTTAAGTACAAATACAACCTGCATCAGAAACTGAAGACTTTAACAACCTGAGCAATGAGAAATACTAAATGAGCTCCTAAGGAATAAAAGAGTTAGCAAGGATAATTAATTAATAAGTGTTCAGTGATCTGTATACTAAATGTTATAAAAATTATAGAAAACTACATAGGCATAAGGTCTAATCTCCCAGAATTACATACAGGGTGAGAAAACAAACCGAAAAACTAACAAAAGAATATAAGCAAGTTAAAACAAGTACTGAGGAATCAAGAAATGAAGATTTAAAATGGTTAATAAGGGGCGCCTGGGTGGCTCAGTGGTTAAAGCCTCTGCCTTCGGCTCAGGTCATGATCCCAGGGTCCTGGGATCGAGCCTCACATCGGGCTCTCTGCTCGGCAGGGAGCCTGCCTCTTCCTCCTCTCTCTCTCTGCCTGCCTCTCTACCTACTTGTGCTCTGTCAAATAAATGAAAATCTTTAAAAAAAAAAAAATTTTTTTAAAAATGGTTAATAAAAATGGCTCCTTAAGCACCACTAAATCTTGAAATAAACCAGGTCAGCATGGTAGAAACAAGCAGCAGTCAACATTACTAACCTCAACCCAAAGATGGTTGTAGAGAGCTAGTATAAGGTTTTCCTTTTCCCAATCCTGAATTTCTTTTTCAGGACTACGTATATTAAACTTCACTTGGCAAGATGGTATATACTCTACAGAAAGTAAGTTAAATCATAGTACAACAGAACTAGCTACAAAATAAGACCTGACAGTCCCTTTTTTTTTTTTACAGATTTTATTTATTTATTAATAATATCTCACACAGAGATAGTGTGAGAGCACAAATGGGGAGGAGAGGGAGCAGGAGGTACCCTGCTGAGCAGGGAGCCTGAGGTAGAGTCCATCCCAGGACCTGAGCAGAAGGCAGAGGCTTAACCGACTGAGCCAGCCAGGTACCCCAAGACCTGATAATCTTGATGGGTTTTTTGATAACCTTGTTTTTAAACTCTTAATTGTTCTAAGAAAATACCCCAGCTAATGAATTGCATCAGAACTACTTAAGTAAAAGTACTTAACATATACTGACTTATTACATATAACTTTAAGTGAAACCTCATCTTTCACAAAATCTATTCTTTAAAACTGTGGCAAAATAAATTTAAGATTCACCTCTTCCATTAAACCAATCACCAACCTGGAGTCTAATACAAGACATATTTCCACTTAGTTAAGTATGCATGTTTCTGCATACTTTTTCTGCTGGTGGTTATACCTGACTCTAACCTAATTCTCTTCCCTCACCAACTAAATTTAAGTGGAATGAAATCCTACTAAAAGACTTTTTAATTGTCCTAGAATTCCCACCAGCAGTGCCTTAATTTAGGCCCTCAAATCTCATGTACACTACTGTTAAATACTTACCTGATCTCCTTTGTCTCCACCCTTACAACTGTCAATCCACCTTCTATAGCACCTTCAACTTTCCCCCCAACTTTCTAACAGTCATACCTGATCTGATACTGGTGTACTAACCAGTGCAAAACTTCATCAACTCTATCTCTTACATCTATGAAATATACACTGATACCTTATTAGAGACAGTCTATACTAAAACAAACAAGACAAAACAAAACAAAAAAAATCTTTTTTAAAATTTAAACTTAACTCACAAAATATACACCCAAGAGTAAAGGGAAACAAACATTTCAAATGTGTTTCAGGATTACCCTATCAGAAAACAGTAAATTTCATATATGTTAAAGTCTCCTGTTAAGCCTGCTAAAAATAGAAATGCCCAAATTCTACCTCAGACTCACTGAATATTATCTAGGAATTCCAGCTAGCAATATTTGTAATCTCCACAATGTTTCTAATGCATACCTAAATTTGAGAACCAAGCAGAAATCCTCCTTGCTTTGTAACAAACTACTAGTAGGCCTCCAACTTTCCAAGATGTTTCATTTCTCTCATCAACCTAGGAGCATATACTAATCTTAAATAGTCAGGAATCACCCACCCTAAAAAACTTTAATCCATCCTCTTTTAAACTCCTAAACTTTTGCAACAAACAAACAAACAAAAAAACCCACCAACCATCCATATATTTACATATGGTCCTCCTAATCCGCAAAATCATCCCATCAGACAGTATCCCTATTTTAGAAATGAGAAAATCAATTCTACCACAGGAAGTTAAAAGAAAAAAAAAAAAAAAGAAAAGAAAAAAACAAGAACAAAACTTGTCCTAAGTGACCAAATGAGTTTGAACTCTGGTGTGCTGACTACAAGCCAAGACATTCTGCATTGTGACATGCAGCATCTTACACATCATTCTGAAGTACTGACTTACTCATCAGTTTACTTACTTGTTTCCCTTTTGAGACAGTGAAGCTCCTTGAGGGCAGGCATCTACCTGGATATTGACCTCAACATTTAGTTACTCAATATATATTTGTTGAGTCAAAGAAGGAATGCAGCACCGCCAGAACTGGGACTATAACTACGTATGTTTCATTCCTTGAACTCTTAGATATGGCTCTGAATACACATCTTCCTTAACAAATCTGGTCTGACTTGTAAACGTTACTGCTGATTTTTTTTTAATGAGATAACCTATTTCACTATTATTTTAACCTAAAAAAAACTGCATAGTCAGCAAAGAAGAAAAAAAAGATCGTTCAAAAAATTAAAATAGTCGGGGCACCTGGGTGGCTCAGTGGGTTAAAGCCTCTGCCTTCGGCTCAGGTCATGGTCTCAAGGTCCTGGGATCGAGCCCCGCATCGGGTTCTCTCTGCTCAGCAGGGAGCCTGCTTCCCCCCCCTCTCTCTGCCTGCCTCTCTACTTGTGATCTCTCTCTGTCAAATAAATAAATAAAAAATCTTTAAAAAAAAATTTAAAATAGTCTTACTTTACTCAAGTAACTGGAGACTTCAAATATTAAAAGTTAATCTTCACAATAATTTCATACCACTAGAGTGTGGTTTTAAATGACAAATTCAAAAGGTAAAGGTGATGAGTAGTAGATGACATAAAGATACTGAGCACTGAATACTGATGGCTCATTCTGCAATCCACTTATGCTAACCAGAAAGCAAGACTATCTCAATGACAGTATTCTTTCACATCTTTTTTTTTGAAACCAGTAAACATTACAGGTAAGCACAGAGCAATTAGTCAGTGTACTCGTGTTTAAATGTAATGTCCTTCCTGCCTAAAGTTAATGTGTCTGGTATGTAAAACATAATACAACTACTTCCTTTCTGACACAGATTACATAGCAAATGAAAATAAACCAGTGAAATTTTAATTTTTTTCATTTGCAGATAATGTAACACTTAAAGAGCCAGAGATTTTCCTAAACTGAAAATATACAAAAGTTAGTGCTGCTTTAAGAATTTCACACTCCAATTGTATCAAGTTCTGATGGAAAAAAGTGATTATTGCTTCTGCATGACTTTTTGAAATAAATCAATAACAAGTAAGAGAAAAACCCTTCTGTAACAACATGATATAGTGGAAAGTACAACAAACTAGGCATCAGGAGTCCTGGTTTTCTAGTTCTGGTTACATTACTAAACTGCTGTGTGACTTAGGGTTCACTGGCTCAGTTTTCTCATTTGTTTAAAAGCAGTGGGGGGGGGACTTGATTATTCTTAAAGTCGTTTCCCAAAATACTGATTTTAAACCAGTCCTCTTATTTCATTCTTCTAATCAGCAAAATATAAAACACATCTAAATTAAATGTAATGATTCAATCTCCAAGAGGATACAAAAGGTTGACTCCTGTAAAGTTAACAATTAACCCATAAGGTAACTTTCCAGAAATTGTCTAATCTTAACTTCTTAAACAAGCAGACGTAGCCTAGCTTGACATATTTAACACTACTAAGAAAAGTTGTAAAATGGTACTGCTCTGTGGACATTTCAGTAGGGGTTTCCTGGGTCGCCGCGGCACAGACAGTGCAGGTGCTAACACGCAAAAGAGGGGAGAAAGGGACCCAAACAGCGTTTGAACAAACTCAACCACAGTTCAACCCTGCCACCGCAGTAAGATGCAGCCTGACAAGGCCTACACCACAGAGCAGAACCTCCCCACCCCCAGAAGTGCCAGCAGCCAATGTAATGAATGCTTCCGTCAACAACACACATTCCCCTTCCCACAGCAGAACTGCTTGCTCCCAACCGGCCATCTGGGGTTGGAACAGGCCGCACAGCACCAACCTAAGAATCACTCTCAGGCCCCCAAAGGCCAAGAACTACTAGAGATTGCGGTTCCCCTGCGCATGGTTGTGGGGAGAGCAGCACCTCCTCCCACCAATGGGGAAAAAAAAAATCAGTGGGGAGGAGAGCAGAAACCAGGCCTGGGCGAGATTGCTGGAGAAATAAACGCTGGTTCTCTGCAAATGGGGATCAGTAGCATTTCCTGCCCTCATTCTGAACCGATGCACTCGACTTCATTCCCTCCTGGGATCCTAAAGGGGGATCAAATACCCCAATCTGGTCCTCTTCATTCATATCTGGGCTTCATTCCTTGACCTACCCACTCCTGAACCTCAGCCATTGTGAAAGAAGGTACCCCCAAATCAAGCAGTAGGAGGTGAGGTGAGGGCCAGTACAGAGGCCCGGTTTTTAAGACCGAGCAGCTCGTGCAAGAATAAAATCCCCTTGTGGCCTGAGAGCAAAGTTTGAACCAGCAGCAAGGGCGCAGACCCGGGCCCGGCCAGGCAGGGTTCCAGGACAGGCCTGCGGAGGTGACACTTTCCTGCTCACGGGCAGCTTCGGGAGGAGGTGTCCGGCGGCCCCGGCCCGCAGTGCCCGTACCCAGGGAGCCGGCTAGCTGGAGGCCTGGCCGGCAGCCGGACCCTCCCCGCGCGCCGCTCCCGCCTTCTTCCCCACTCCCACTTCCCGGGCCCGTGAGGTAACGTCGGGGAGGGGATGGCGACGCGCGGGTCTCGGCCACTGACCACACATTTCTTGCCCAGGAAGGTGAAGAGAGACTCATTCTCCTGCGGGGTGAGCAGCAAGGACCCCACATTGGTGACCCTCCGCGGTGGCGGCGGCTGCTGCTGGCCGGAGCTCATGGTTTCGCTGGCGGGGTTGCGAGTCCAAGGCCGTCTCCGGCGAGTAGGCGAGCGCTCTTTCCCCTCTCGGTGACAGGGGTAGGAGGAGGGGAATCAGAGGCGCAGCATCTCGCAGCTCCACGGGCGCCGGGAGGAGGAGGCCACGGGAAGGAGGAGCCAACGACGGGCCGCGCAGAGAAAGGGAAGCTCCCGGCTCCCGCCTGGCTAGGCTCCGGCCGGATGGCCGTTGTCTTCGTTCTCTGGCGACTGCGCTAAACTCCCAACTCCTCCTCCAAACCTTCTTCGGCGGCAGCAGCAGCGGCGGTGGCGGCCGCACAATCCAACATGGCAGCGGGGGCGGACGAGACCACAGGACGCAGGACGCGGGGGAGCGCGCCGGAAACGCGCGGCTGCGGGCCGGGCCCCTGAGGAGCCCCCCCCCCACGCCGCGGCCGGCCTCGCCGCGCCGGCCCGAGGCCCCGCCCCCTTCCGGCGGGGCGCGGGCTGCGAGGTGGGACGCGGATCTGTGATCGCGTGTACCGGTCCCGGCCTCTGGCCTCGCTTCTGTGGTGTTCGGGCCCGGCGGCAGCCGCCTGCAGGGAAGAGGGGCCGCCCGCCCCTGGGCCGCGGAAGGCACACCTTGGCTAAACGTCGGTGAAGACCCAGGTCCCCCCTCCCCAGAATAGCTCTTATTTTGGGGGCGCGGCAGCCGGACGTTAACATCGCGGGTCAAAAAGATCTGGAATTTGGAGACGGAAGACTGGAAAGAGGGGACGCGCTCCCTGTGCTCCTCGTCGGTTTCGGTCAGAGCCGCAGGTGCCTGGGGTTTCTCAAACTTTGTCCAAACTTCAACAGTGGGAGTGGAGGAGCAAACAGGCCTCTCCCAGTTTTGTGAAAGAGTGATCTTGCTGATGGATGTTAACAAAAACCAAACGCGCTTAAAAAAAAAAAAAAAAAAAAAAAATTTCTACCCCTTGCCTGGAGTGTTGCGTGGGATAAATGTATTTGGAACATTTAAATTCAATTTCTCTTCTCTGACGTGCCCTGAACACATTTTTCCCTGTCTTGTGAATTGGAAAATATGCTTCCTCCCCCTTCCCATCTTTTTCTTTCTCTCAAACCCCAAACACTCTTGTCTTTTTATCCAAAAGGAATGCGCCCATTCGGGGATGTCACACAGGAAAATAGGTAGTCTGATTTAATCCTTAGAAGAAAATCTCAAGAATTTTTGTTAAATTTGTATACCTCAGAATATTGATACTTAGGATAACGTTCTTTGTTCAGTAAATTAAATACTAAACAAATATTGCTAAACGAGGTTTTGCACTTACCGAAACGTAAAGAATATCCCTGCAGCAATAAGTATCTGACTTATCCACTTTTTTTTTTTTTTTTTTTTTTTTTTTTACGATTCTATTTATTCATTTGAGAAAGAGATACCGGGGAGAGAAAGAAAATGATCAGGGGGAGAGGGAGAGGGAGAAGCTGGCTCCCCACTGTGCCAGGAGCGGGATGCCGGGCTCAATACCAAGACCCCAGGATCATGACCTGAGCTGAGGGCATTGAACCATCTGAGCCACCCAGGCGCCCCTGACATCTCCACTTTAAACATCATTTATTGTATAATCTTTACCATTGTGTTTGGTAATTATTCAATTTCAATAAACAAAGGAGTTGCCATATATTAAACCTGACCCCCATGTTACACCAGATAAAATTTGGTAAAACTATTTGATTTTAACATCCCTTTAGCTTCCAATGCAAGTCTCCTATGTACTAAAGAAACTGATAAGCCATGATAAATGAACTTTGAAAATATTACAAAAATTCAAAATTAAAGCTGCCCTTATGAAACTAGCTAAGGTATCTAGAAAGGAAAATGAGATCATGTAGTCCTGGGAGTCCTCTTATAAAATATGGACATCTCAAAATTAAACTTGATTAGTAGTGTTAGGGGGAAAAGTGATTCATGAAAAGCAAGCTGACTTTTTATAAAATAATTGGGTTTAGAAAGGCAGAAATGTAAACCTGCAGTTGCCTCTGAATTACGAAGCTAACAGACATTACATCAGTTCGTCTCTTAAAAGTGCGGTTCCTTTAAATTAAAACCACAGTGACAGCAGAAAGCAGTACAAATTTTTGAGAAATAATAGAAATCAGAGTCCTAATAGTGTCAAACCTGTGAACCAGGGTAGTAACAAATACACACTTTAGATAGGCCTACGTGGAGTTCTTGTTCTGCCGTGTATTTATACAACCTTATGGACCTTGGACAAGTTGCCTGAGTCTTGATCTGTAAAATGAAAATAATTTTTATTTAATAAAGGTGTAGTACAGAGATAATTAAACCTACTTCAAAGCTGTAAAATTTACCAAGAAAATATATATAAAATATCTGACACATAGTGGTTACTCAAATATTATTTGTTCATCATTGACCATCCTTGCCTGTGGTCTTCTTGTCTTCCCTTTGCCTGTGGTCAGCTTCCCTTCCCTTAGCTAAGGATCAAAAGTTGAGTTGAAATGTGTATTTTTACCTTTGTGCTATCTAAATGTGATACTTCAAAAACTGTTTTTCGCATTTAGAACTCTGCACTTCTCCAAATATATAGTGGTGAATTATTTCTTTGTTAGCAGAATTTCGACTAAGGCTATATAGTATGTCACGTGGAGTATGTATGTCCCACTATGCCAAAATTATAAACCTTTTAAAAACTATAAATCTAGAGAAAGACTCATTTGTTTCTAATATTATCTTTATAATATTAAATAATATTTTATAATATTGTATTTTCTAATGTTAATTTTACTCATTAATAAAAACTGAAAGGCGGCAAGTTTTATGCAGAAGGTCAGCTTTTAAAAGCTTATAGACCACCCAATTATTTTGAAGATCAGAGAGAGAGCCATGGAAGAGGGCTATGGGAAAAAGCAGGCAGCATGGAAAGCTAGTTGAAGGGACATCAGCTATGAGTTAACTGCTAGGTTCCAATCATTTCACAACCTCCTGTTAGCCTGGACTATGTACTATTTTAATTGCTTTTTTTTTTTTTTTTCCTTTCAGGAAATATTAAATGTCATTTATTTCTAGGTGCAATTTTCTGACTGTTCGCCCCTGTTCTTTGTTTGGAAATGATGATGGCCCAAATCATTTCTTTAACTTTGACTCAAAATTTGAAATATGGTTATTTTGTCCAAAAAATTGCAATCTAAGTTTTTATTTTCTACCCCTTCATTCTTATTTTTGCTTTTCTTTGGCCTTTGTCCAACTCCCTATTCTTAAAATGTGGAAAATGTTACCGTGAACGTTACATTGGAAATATGACTTCCTTACTCTTATGAGCATGTGAACAATCAATATTTGGGGTTTTCCCTTCTTAGCATGCATACAAAGATTTTATTTTTCCATGTTCATCCTGAGACCAAGCAGTAGCAGCTTGGTTTGTTTCAAAGTTCTAGCAAGTCTCTTCTTCTATTCTTAATAGCATATCCTCTATTTGGCAGAACACAAGACAACTTTCTCTCTGTTTTCTTTGGCAAGTTATTTTCTTATCTCAAATTCTTTTTACCCAGTTTGAGAGATTGGATTTGGTCCAGGAAATAAGAAGGATTCTGTTTCCCTTCCACTAAGTATCTTGAAATTTATAAGCTAGGTTAAGAAGACTGTAAGGATTTTATCTTCATGTGGGTATAAAATGCATATGCTGTATTAAAATGTCTGAAAATAATTAAGAATAAGGCAATTCTTAAATTTAATTTCTTCCATTTGACTTTCCATGACTCAGAATGTATTCTAACTACTTCTATTTTCTTCTTTCTTTGCTATGATCCTTTAAGGTAAAGTCCTTATTTTAACAGAAGACATTAGGGTAGCTTATTTATGGAAATGAGGGCATAATTTCAGATGGATTCCCTGCCATTATTATATTTTGCAAATTTCTCCTTTGTTAACCCACTTTTCTTCTCACAGATATCATTGTTTGTATACTATTACAAGTCCTTTGAAACACCCTGTTCTCATTGCTAATGTTAATAATTTAAAATGCAGTGACACCCATCATTCTAGAGGAATGTGGAGGTAGCTGCACACAGGATCAATTGCATTCAGCAGCCTTTGTAGCCATAATTACCAGTACTGAGTAGCTGCTTTACTTGGCATAACTGAGTTATAGAGACAGAACAACAGTGAACCAGGATACCGCAGGGGTGATGAATGTGACTTCTACCAACCAACCTCCAAGTGCCTTGGGTTTAAAATGTTCACATTGCAAAATGTCTCTATGCATGTTTATGTAAATGTTGCACACAGCAGTGTGCAAGAGAATTTGTCCTAGTACTTTCTCTCATTAAATGCTGAATGTTTTTTCATCAACTAAAATCTTAAAAAGCTAGCAAACTATTTTCCCTTCCCTCTTCCTTTTATTTTTATTTTTTTTAGAGAGGAGGTGGGGGCAGAGGGAGAGAGAGAATCTTAAGCAGGCTCCACAACCAGCGCATAACACAATAGGGGGCTCAATCTCACAACCCTGAGATCATGACCTGAGCCAAAATCAAGAGTCAGACGCTAACCAACTGAGCCACCTAGGTGCCCTTTCCTCTTCCTTTTAAATTCCTTTTGAGTATAAACCTCTTTGGGGCATACTTTTTAAGAAATAGATAGCTTATTTACAATTCGTTCTAATTTCTTATTGATGTTAGTAGAAAAATGAATTCTTACTCATGCTAGTGAATTATACTGATAGTCACTACCACTATATGGCATAATCTCCAGATGCCTAATATATACCTGATGTAAGAAAGATGACATAGGGATTGAAGCCGACAGCCAAGAAAGAATTCTTGAGACATCTTTGGTGCAAAAAGGTGATTTTATTAAAGCATAGGGACAGGACCCTTGGGCAGAAAGAGTTGCACTGGGGTCATGAGGGGTGGCCCATTATATACTTTCAAGTTGGGAGGGGGTTAGGGATAGCATAAGTCTCAAAGGAATTTGGAAGCAAAGTTTTCAGGATCTTGAGGCGGCTAGCTAGCTATTGTTGGCAAAAGATCATTTATTACTATCTAATAAAACCTTAGTCATGAGATCCTTCAGATGGATACCGGTGGGCCATATGCTTGGGAGATGATTGCCAACACATATCTTGGTGGGTTTACAGATAAAGGAAGTTTCCAAAGGAATTTTTATACATTAAAGTAAACTTATAAGATTTCGGTTGGGGGTGGGGTGGAGGTGGGTGGTCAGGCTAGGATTGCCTTTTGCCCTTAGCAAAGTATTATTAACATTGAGGGGGCCGTTGAGTCCCTAGAGGAATGTTAGTCTGCCTATTTCAAGGACATGTCAATGGGCTGTAGGTAGTAAGGAAATTTAACA